TGCACACCTTTAATCCCAGCACTTGGGAGGCAGAGGCAGGCAAATCTCTGTGAGTTTGAGGCCAGCCTGGTCTGTAGAGTGAGTTCTGTCCAGGACAGGCTCCACAGAGCCTGTCTTGATAAACAAAACAAAAACAACAAAACAAAAAAGAACAAGAGAAGTGAACCACCAGGAAAATAAAGAACAGAGAATACAGAAGAATAAGGAAGGAAACCACCAAGAGCTTGTGACTGTCTTTTCCCTTTATACCTCAGATAATGAGTCTTGGTACCCTGGCTCCATGGATTCCCTTTGAGCCCTGTGCTGCTGGAGGCTGGCCCCGAGGCAGTGATCTGCTTTTATTACAGTTCTTTTAGAAAGAGTTTCAACAACTGACCTAAGGCATTAAAAAATGGGGGATTTGATTGCGTCCAAATTATTAGGTAATTTAACATGTCACCAGAAAGTGCCTGACCTAAGATGCCTTTGGGCGCTGGGGACTACAGAAAGCCAGGACATCAATTGTCACAAGAATCTATTTTCACTAATATTATTTTGGGTTTCCTAGGGCAGCGTCTCCGCCACGTCAGAGCAGCCTGTGCTTAAATAATAGTCTCACCTGAGCAAAAACTCTTCAACCAAAAGCAAGTGTGGTCAGACCCAATGGTGAGCAGAGGATACTCAGTTAGAACTGAGCATATGAATGAGGAGAATTATGTCCCTCTTCAATGAAAGATCTAAACTTGGGAAATCAGGAGGTGACGATGAAGAAGGGGCAGAGGACTTAGTATGTAGGCAAGTATTTAAAATGATACCATAGCTTCATGTTTAGAAAACAAAGCAGCCAAGGGTGTATATTCAAAAGGCCTTGGCTGGGGCTGAAGAGAGCTTGGGTTCACAGGAGCTACTCACAGACCTTGGTAGATCTCCTTACAATCACCTCTGAGCAGAACAAATCCCCACGCCGCCATAAATCCAGTTAAAAAGCCTGAGTGAGCATGCCTGGGCATGGGGTGGGGGCGGTGATAACAGAGGGGGAGGGAGTGGAGAGGCACAGGTGAGGCAGGAGTGAGTGGGGGTGGGGCCCCAAGAAAAGGTGCTTCCTGTTGACCAGGCTGCTTTTCACCTAGGCCTCTCCCAAGCTCCTTGGAGAGGTCTGTTAGGCTAAACACATTTCTTTGGACTAGGCAGCCATCTTGGTCTCTCGCGACACCTCCTCTGGGCGGATCTTTGGAAAACATGATAGACAGCAAACTTGCGGGGAGGGAAGAGGAAGCAATATTCTCTCCCGTGAGCAGAGGCAGAGGCAAGCTCCCAGAGATTGGTCAGAATCTTGGCTGAAGAGGGTACTTCTCAGGTGTTTGATCTTTGCGTGTGTGTACATTGCGTGTTTGCATTCTTGCACACACGTGTCTGTCTGTGCAGGTACCTGTGCATATTCATGTGTATGCAGGTACAGGCATTTTCCCCATCCAACACTCTCCTCTTTTTGAGACAGATTCACTCATTAGTAGCAATTAAACTAGACTGACTGGCTGTAGTGATATTTTGTTTGTGTTTTAACAAACAAAGCTTGCCTGAAGATCAGAGTGCATAGCTAAGCCACTAGAGGCCAGGGAGTGGTGAGTGGTGGCACACACCTAAAATCCCAGGCCTAGGGAGGTGGAGACCGGAGTAATATGGCCGGGTGGAGAGTGGACTATAAAGGGGGGAGACAGGACTTCAGTTGCAGTCTGAGGATCACCCCTGCAGTCAGAGAAGGAGGCCTGAGGAGACAGTCTGAGGATAGGATTGCCCCTTCGGTCTTAGCATTAGTAGAGACAAAAAGGTCTCTCTAGTGGCTGGCTGCTCTTTACTCTGATCTCTCAGGCAAGCTTTATTTGTTAAAACACAATCAAAATATCACTACAACTAGCCAGCACATTGCAAAGCCCCTAGGGATCTGCCTATTTCTGAGACCCAGCTACTAGGGTTATAAGTTTGTGTCCCTTGCCCAAATTTGTGCACATGAATCTAGGTGCCCAGAGGTCAAAAGAGGGCATTGGAACCCCCGAAGCTGGAGTTACAGGCTTCTGTGAACTGTCCGATGCATTGGGAACTAAACACAGTTCTGCAGGTTCAGTAACGCGCTCCTAAGCCATTTGAGCTGCCGTGCTTGTCCGGACACCCAACTTCCTACGGGGCATTGGGGTTAGAGCTCAGGTCCTCAGGCTCGCATGACAAGTACTTTCTTAACTGAGCCTTATCTTCAGCCCCGTGGGTCTCCAATCCCTCCCTGCAGTTAGAGGAAAGTGGGACTTCTGCTTCTCGCAGAGACAGGGCTTTGAAGTTTGCTAGAGCCTGTGAGAGTTTAGCTGAGCCTGTTCCGGGTGCTGAGGGGACAGGGGTGGTAGCAGAGGACAAGAGAGGAGGGAGCTGGGAGGAAGAAGGTCTCCAGTTCGAATCCAGCCTTGGCAATTTAGTGAGCCCCAGAGAGCTAAGGTCACAGCTCAGTGGGAAAACAATTGCCTTGGCATGAGCAAAGCCCCAGTCCTGGGAAATGCTGACACAAAACACATGCAAGGGCTCAGCCCCTCACTAAGGGCTGGCACCCTGAGGCTCCGTCTCCTATAGTCCAGCCTTCCCCTTCCTTCCTAAGAGCAAGCCAGCTCAGCACAGGATTCTGAGAGCTGTGGAGGAAAGGTCAGTGAGAATCCGCAGAGGGAAGGAGGGGATGATGCCTTCTGAATGGGAAGTTCACTACACAAACTTCATGGCCTTTTTCCATGGGGAGGGCTTTCCCAGAGTCTGAGGAGTGTGTGCTCTTCCCTGGATGATCTCAGAAAGGTCAACGTGACAAAAATAATAACAGCCACCGCAGTAGCAGATGAGCAAAGTGGTCATGACTTGGAATCTCAACACACGGGGCAGGAGAATTACAGGCTTGAAGCTAGCCTGTGTAAATAGCAAGAATCTTGAAAAACAAACAAAATAACTCCCACCCTCCCACACATAAAACCCTCTATTTGGTGATGGTGTATGGAGAAACCAATGCTTTTATTTTAACAAAATCCCAATTAGTAGCAGATGGTATTCTAAAATACAAGCTTCTAAAGGCAGATTTAAGTTTTTACACAGTCGGTGTAACACAGGCTTGCATACCTGCATGCAGACAAACATGTAGTTACCATCATAATTCTTAATTTAAGAATTCGGGTAAAACTAAGATGTGAACTGTGTACTGCTGGAAACCACTTCTGAGCATCCAGGGGCCTAAATTCCTTGGGAAATTATGCAAAGCATTAGGCATTGGAGGGGTGGATTACTTAAAAAGACCTCCTGGAACTGCAGAGGCCGGCACCTCAGGCCCAGGGCAATGTGCTCACCCATCCGTTGTCCTTGAGTCTGAAGAAGGGAATCTGCCCTAGCATGAGATTCTATGATCAGTTAAGCCCTGAGCTCACTCTTGGGAACCAGCAAGTGGGTTTTGTAAGTAAAAGTGGAGCCGGGTGGACTCTGGAATGTTCTCAATTTCAGAAGAATTTAAAACACAAAACTTGCTTTGGTAGTTCTATGAACACTGAAAAAAAACAACGACAAAAATACTCAAACCAAGCCAACAACCCTCAGATGACACAGGGACATTGGTCTCTCCTTGCCTTGGTGGGCGAGCATGGCACGGAGGCTCTGCTTAATGCCATCAGGGCTCGTCGGGAAAAACACTCCACTGTGCCTCAGATTTACAGCCAGAGTTCTGTGCTCCACACGCCAGACAGGCTTAGGAATCTCCCGATTCCAGAGGCACACCATGTGTTTCTGAACAAACATACTTGACTTGAAAGATGCATAAAGATTAAAGACGAATCCATGAAGATGCCAAGTGTTCCTAAAGAGCTGGGCTGGCCGCCCCATGCTTACCACAGCTCTGCTGCCTCTGGGCCCACAGGGCTTCTGCTCATCTCCAGGAATGTCAACAGCGCTCCCCCATTTTTTTGTTCTGTTTTCTCGAGACAGGGTTTCTCTGTAGCTTTGGAGCCTGTCCTGGAACTAGCTCTGTAGACCAGGCTAGCCTCGAACTCACAGAGAACCGCCTGCCTCTGCCTCCTGAGTGCTGGGATTAAAGACGTGTGCCACCACCACCAGGCTAACAGCGCTCCCTTTATAGGTGGAGGGGCTCAGCCTTCAAAAGCTGCCTCAGTCCCACACAGCTCATGGCGGATGCTCTCTAAATGATCCCACGGCAGGGGTAAGGGCCACCACACAGGCACTTCTGTCTCAGGAACACCCAAAGAAAATGTGATGTCAGGAAGTACAGCAAGAACTGATTGGATAGATGTCCTAATTAATGTTTTCCTATCGAATAGAATGGGACAGGGCTTGGAGATGATGGGTCAGTGGGTCAAGTGTTTGCCCTGCAACCTTGAGGACCTGTGTTCAATCCTCCAGAGCCCACAGTCCACTGGGGAGACAGGTAAGAGGATCCCTGGGGCTCACCGGCCTGTCGGTCTAGAAAAATCAGCAACCTCCAGGCTCACTTTCTGAGCTAACCAATCTTAGCTCAAAAATCAAATTGGATCACTCAAGTAAGGTGATAAAATGAAGAATGACTGAGGAAGATCCCTGCCGCACACATTCACACACACACACACACACACATACACACAAACACCCCACAGTACAGATCACAGAGCTTTTCCCTCCTTCAAAGCAATTACGAGAATCTTAACTCTCTTTAAAATTTACCAAACCAACTCATCAACACATGCATACTGTGTTTTCACCAGGATTTTTCTAGAGTTACCCAGATAGTGTTCCCAAGTTCAATGTATAAACTTCATTCAAGTGTACTGAAAACACTCACACTTAGCAGAGACATCCCTTACACGATGAGGGTTCCTCAAGCCATTCTAGGCTGAGGTGCTGAGAGCCGTCTGAACTCTTGTCTTCTCAGACAGAATCTGCACAAAGCGAAGCGTTTGCATGTAATGCGCTCTGGAGTTGTGGTGGGGCGAGCAGACTACAGAGAACAGTGATGCCTTTGGTTCACTTCACCGCGGGGTGAAGAATTTTATTTCCAGCAAAAGGTTTATACGCTGAGGATACATTGCATAATTTGGCCACAGAGTTAACGGTAGGGTGTGACATTGCATTAAATTCCCGAAGTCTCTAAAATTCAAATTTGCAAGTTTTAAGAACCGTGTGGGGTTGGTGGTGGGTGAGGCTGGACAGCTCCTCCACACTGGAGCTGACCGCTGGAAGCTGCAAGGGGCGCACAGGTCTGGTGCGCTTCACTTTCCCTGTCCCGGCTTTCTCTAGTGACAGCTGCTGCGGATTAAATAGAATGAGCAACTGCTTCATTTCCAAATGACTAGATCTTTGTAATGACCCAGCTTGGCCAATTTATTATTTCATGGGAAAAAATGAACATGTAAAGTGTCCAACAGAAGTTGATAAAATTATTTGATTGCTTTTAGGAGACATTTACAAATTCAGCTCAACTGGTTTTCTGGGAGAAAATGCTCTGGGAAGTACCAATGACCAACCCTCCCTCTCCCACCCAAACCCCACAGGCTGTAGAGAAAATTACTAAAACTATTCTACAAATTCATTTGATTTGGGGTGCATGGAAAATAGAGTAAAATTATCATGCCAACGTAAAGAATATATTCTATATTCCAAAGGCTAATTATCAAAATAAGACAACCATGGTTAGATTCCACCTAACTATGTTTTATAAGATGCAGCTACATATTCTGTGGTCATTTATCTTACATATTACACTTGATTCTCATCAAATTAAGCTATGTATACATGGAATTTGAAATAAATATTTGATATTGCAATAGGGTCATATTCTGCTACTGTACAACCATGGCATGCAAGTAACTAGGCATTAATTGTAAAGTTTCATTGCCTCCCAATATTCCAAAGAACATGAAAAGTGTGTCTACAGTACTTAACGTGGATAGACACAACGACTCCCATGTTAAACAAAAGTACAGCGTGTGCAACAGCTTTGGGATCTTGTTCGCATCTCTCCTGTGGTCACCCTGAAGTCAACCACGACCACTCCAGACTGAACATCAGTGAACTCCAGTCTGTATTAGCACACAAATGGCAGTTCCAGGCAAGAGCTGGCCTTTGTGTTCTTCTTTCTATTGTTACTCAGGGCTTTGTGTCATTAGGGACGTTTTGGACGTGGCCAGAAATGAATTTGTTTCTGTGCTCTGGACACCTCACAGCCCGGTGTGACTGTACTGGGGATGGGGAACTTGCTGATGCTCGCCGGACAGACTCTGGTCTGCTTGCATTCTACAGGAAGGAGTTGGTAGCAGGGAACACGGAAGGCATCACCTTTGAGGTCCATTTTGTAATACTTGTAAAAGGTAAATAAAATCTAGCGAGTAGAAGAAGGCTGGGAGAAAGCGACACATTCTAGTGAGGACTCAGAGGAACACGCTGGCCTGGCACCGCGCCATGATGCCCAGGCAACCGAAGCATCACCACTGGGACCAGAATCTCCGTTATCCAATGGTTGTTCTGGCTGCTGAACTGGAGGCTCTCTGTGGAAGGAGGGGACACTGATCGCCAGTCTTCTCCGTGCTCTGTCCCCCACGCTCGAAATTCTAACAACTTCCTGTGACACACGCATGCAGACCAACTCTCTGGTCCGATTGCTGCAGTCTCAAGTTGACTCTGGATACTACGTGGTCATGTGGAGAATTTAAACACATGACCTACAGCTTATTAAATAAAAGCCTTGCTTTCATATTCATGAGAGACAACAGCAATTTCAGCTGCCATGTTCTCTTCCTTTCCTACTCATATGCAAATGACCTACGTTTGCTAATGAGGCAAAAACTGTACCATTCAAGCATTAAAAAATGTCTTTCTTTAAAGTCTCGGGATATAAACAGTTGGTTTATATGAATTACATATTTCCATCTGCATTAAGAAACAATATACATCTCTTTCCATAGTAAGTTATGTTAGCTCTAAGCCTACGAGAGCCATAAAAACTGACTATCACTTGTGACCATCAATACTGCTACTTTTAAAAAACTCACTGGCATTCTTTGGCCACTTGGGACATTGCCCACTTAGAGGGAACTGTACGTGGGCCCTGGATCATAGGACATTAACATCTGTAAAACCCAAGGCCACAGAACAGCTCTAACGGAAGCCATTTGTGAAGTAAACCAGCACACAGCACAGAAGGGATCTCCAATCAGACACAAGTTCCTTGCCGTGTGGAGAGGTGTTTCCGGTTGCGGACTCCAGAGGTCTTGTCTTTATTATCAGAAGGCTTCTGCTGTGAGATGTCTATCAGGGCACTGGCGATAGCAAGGCCTGGAAAGGAAGGAGAAAGGCATTTAGACGTCCACACAGATATCTGGTGTAACTGGAGGGTTCTCATGCTGTCTGGTCCTGCAGCCACTTTTAAAAAATCACTCAGAGGCTTAGTATTATTTACATATGTTTTAGCTTATTATTAACTAGCTTTTACAACTTAGTTTATATTTTATCATGAGGCTCGTGGCTTGTTAACTCACATAGCTTCTCTGGCAGCTGCTGGTGTCTCCCTGACTCTGTCTTCTTTTTTCCTGTATCTGATTGGATTTTCCACCTAGCTATATTCTGCCTTGCCATAGGCCAAAGCAGCTTCTTTATTAGCCAATGGTAATGAGGCATATTCACAGCATACAGAAAGACTTCTCACATCAGTCTGGAATGGTCAGGGTGACTTTGGATAAAGTTAACACACTCAGCCATGAAGTCCTCAGGAGCTTCCTGATTATCTAGCGTTGAACAACACACACAAGAAGAACAAGAAGCTAACTGACAACACTGAGCAACTGAGTCAGGGCTTGAGGGAACACTGCAGTCAGCCATGGATACCACTGCTCACCTCGCCTCCGGGTTTGAACATTTTATGGATGGACTGGGAATCTCCAAGGTTACCATTTGGTTTTTGCTTCTATAAACAAGCTCATTAGATGTGTCTTTTAAAGGAGGCTTGGAGCACTGTTAATTTTCTGGAAAAGCTGAAGATTGACACACGATTATCACTTGAGGGTGGTGGCATGGCTATTTTCCTTCTATAGAGTCCTAGAATTCTTGAATACAACAAAAAAATTGCCTAAAATTCCCATCCTTTACTTTAAGGCCAGAACACATGTCCTAGCTTTAGACTTGACTGAAGGGCCCCGAGGTCTTGGTGCGTTGACTTTGAAGTGAGTTGACCCTGTCCTTCATCCTCACGGGCGCCTTCAACGCTGCTTCTCAAGGAAGATCTTTACTTTGGGTTTTATCCCACACGAGATGTTACTGAATCATGCCATTCTCATGGGTCAGTTTAGTCTACATAAGCTTCAAGTAGGTAGGATTTTGCAAGAACAGAACTCAGCTTTCTAAGCAGAAAGAAATGACAAGAAAGGACCATGGGATCAAGGAAGACCTGTGGAAGAAAGGTCACCTGACCTTAGAGGGGAGGCCACCGGGTTCCCTCAAAATAGATTTCAGTAATCTTCCACCCACCCGAGTGAAGCTGAACCGGGGCGGAAGCTTAAGTCCCCACTTAAGACAGTGAACAGTGGAGAGAGGTGAGCAGGCTTTCCTGCACAGGGAGGAAGGGTGGAAGAGGGAGGAGGTGAACTCATGACTAGACAGGATCTGTTTGGAAGGGTACACACTCACGGACATCTGGAGGCAGTATAGGTGATGGTGGAGGAGCAACCATGGCCAGACAGAGAAGGAATTCCAGTCGCAACCACAAACATTTACTCTTCAGGGGCAAAGTCCCCTTCAGAATGCTAATATCACCCTGAAATCTTTTAGCGATACTACAGGCTGGAACTTGAGGAAAGCTTGTTCTTGCTCTTTGACATGCACATATGCCCTCTCGGGGTGTCAGAGATTGTGGTGTAGGGTTTACCATGATACATACTTTATTTCTTTACTTCATGGATGTGGAAGACTTATTTAAAAAAATCACAGCCTTGGTTATGCTAAAGTTCAGATGGAGCAAATCTCAAGTTTCCTTGGGCCTCCTGGCACACTTCTGTGATAATTTACAACTTCCCGCTAGTTTGCTCCTGGCACCGACTTACCCAGAGACAGGCAGATGCAGGAAGTGATATGCAACTCCTTTACTGTGGGCAGCAATGACTAACACTGATTTTGATGATTACTACGTCTGAATAGTAAATCACGCCAGCGCTCTTAAAAATACTTCTTCATTTCCATGTAGCTCCAAATGTCATTCCTCTCACAGTGGGCCTTATCCCAGGAGTGAAGTAAAAAGCTTCAGATGCCAAAACGGGACATTCTCTGCTAATTCCCCATTGTCATGGTGTCTTTGTCTGGGAGTACATGACGTCCAAAACCCAATTTAAGTACTGTCTCTCACAATACTCTCAGTTTACCCCAGGATTCTGAAGCTTGGGAATACATAGAACTGAAAATTCGCAAACCTTATTTTAGTTAATATGATAAGATAGAAAATCAGGCTTACTTTTAAGGTGGCAGCTTTTTGTGCTTTCCTATGCAAATGAACAATTAAGTCCATTTAAACTCTTATAAACAGCACAAAGCATGCTGGGAACCTGGAAATCCTCTTGGTAGTGGTATTTGAGTGCTGTCCACCCTGTAGAGTTCTAGCGGACATTCAGAGCACCTTTACCTTGTGCATAGGTTGTAGGTTAAATGACATTTCCTTTAGGGTTAAGCTTGACTCCCTTATGGAATCTCACGGCTTGTGACCCATCAGGAGTTCATAATTGAGATTATGAACAGTACAAAGGACAAAGTTATTTGTGCTTGTGCGCCTTGAACGTCAAATGTAAGGGCTTTATTTCTGACTTTGCATTTCTCCTATTTGATAGAGGGTAAAGTTTATAATCACCAGCTGAACCCAGAAGTTGCCAAGTCTTCATCCTATGGCCTTCAAAGGTGAGGAACTGAAACAGGCCAGGTCTCCCTGCAGGGCAGGGACACAGGATGTGGGGAGGCTTAATCCCTAGCTTTAGGTGGGGCATTCTTTGTTCTTCTGCCTTCTGCTTTCATTAAATGACAAAAAGAAGTCAACTTAGTAGCTTTCAAAGGAGGAATGCTATCTTCCTCCACCCCCTAACAAGCTCCTTGTGAGGGACAGACTGGACCTGTGGATCTATAGACCTTAAAGAAGCTTAGGCTGTTACCAGCTGCCTGTTCAGAACACCAGCCTATGAGCCACAAGGAGCAGCCAAGGATGCCAGTGAGCAACAAGCCGTAGGAACGCAGGCAGCTCTCCAAGTTCAGGAATGACCATCTTTCCAAACAGTTATGGCTTACTGAATAACCAGGCAGCCCCCATAAGCCACGTCTTCAGTTCCAGTGTAGGACAACCAGAGAAAGGAAACGTGCACCCTAACCTCACCTCTCCTCAGCTGATCCACAGCTCCTGTAACCCAGCACTCCCCTATCTAGACATAACAGCATTCCTCCTATCCTCTGAAAGCTCGCCCACTCCCACTCCAAGGCCTGAAGGCAAGTCTCGCGCTGAGGGATGGTGGCTAAGTCCCTCCCAACAGCAAGCTCTTGAGGTGCACAGCTTTCACCAGTTTTCATTTCCACACTGGCGGTGACAGAGCTACAGAGATGAGTAACCTCTGCTCTTTTCCGCATTTTAAAAGAGGCACACACCAACAAAGCAATGGGTTCTGAGAGGGGCCCTGCTAGGGGTTACCTGGGCTGACCCTCTGCCATGTGTCATGGGAGCCAGCACACCATGCTACCCTGCGCAGTGGTGCGTGCTGATTCCGTTAAAATCAGTCACTCCAGAGAATCATTTTTCAAAACGTCACCCCAATCATCTGTTGGAATCCACTTATTGTGTTCTCTAGGCCTCCGATACTTCCTTGTTATCAAGGCAATACAATTAGCTGTGGGAACAATTCATTATCTTAGACTGGCGGTCTAAAGGAATTTCATTTACCATGTCACGGAGGCGCCGGCACTGTGGGCTAGTAGAATGCACATCAATATACACCCATAGGTTCAATAAAAAATGCTAGGGTTCAAACATTTACTGTAAGCCTTAGCTCTTTGTACTTTTAATTCGTAAACACCAGGCACTGTGACACATTGTTTAAATTCCAAGTCTAAACCATGTAAGTAAGAAAACCCACCCCCTGTCTCCCCGTCTCCCATGACTCCCCGGCATTTCCAATGTGTTGCCCTGGGTCACCCAGGTGGGGACAAGGTCAAGGAAGTGGACGCTTTCATCAGAATTTCCCTTGACAAATGGGCTTGGTCCGGCACACGTGGTCCTGGGAGCCAACAGTCACCATGTCATTTTCTGAGGGGGGAGAACAACGACCAGGATTAGACTGGGCAGTAACCTCAAGTCCGTTTGCTTCCTGGCTTGTCTGTAAGCACGTGCAAATCTGTCTGGAACAGAAAGGAACATAAGTAGCTGATCATCTAACAGCTAACGGGCAAATACATCTTCTTCAAACAGAGACACGTCAGGCGTTTCCTTATTGTTTGTGAAACCATGGTTTTCCCCATGGAAACGGAGTGGTAACAGTAGACTCTGGCAGCCACAATGTCATCATAAAAGCAGTGATGTGTGTTTCTTTACAATCATGCAGGAACAATTAATAAGTCCAGCCATAAATGTTGCACATCAAATGAACCTGCTTTGGAAAGAGCATTCCGGCGTCATGCCCAGACGTGGTGCTTACCATTTCCAATTGAACAGAAAGCTTGAAAAAGTCATTCATTTTGAAGCGCTTTCCTCCCAGGTCTGTGTAAAAGCAAGCACCTCTATATATTTTAATTTTCCAGGAAAACAGCTTCATTAGGCGTGAAAGGTTAATTGCAGGTTTAAGTGGAGTTCAGAGAAGGGTGCGGGGTCTGCGGCGGATTGCACAGCCTGCTTTGGGAAGACGGAATGAGCGCTATAAAGCCTGTGCCCCGCGTGTGCCCCGCTGAAATGCTTTACTACCTCATTTACTATCTGTCTTCTTTTACTGCCTGTATTTGTAGTTCTTCTAAACCTTTAATGGCTACAGTTTTATTTCACTGTAATCAGATTTAAATGGAAATACCATGCTGGGCTGTTTAAATGTTTTCCTTCTGATTCTATACAGCTACCCACTTGTGAGCAGAGCCTCCGTAATCCGTCACATGATTAAGAAAGTGACTTTGGGAAACTTTGCTGTCACACAGCCTCCGCTGCATGTTCGGCATGGCTCCACTTGCCAACATTGAGCCGTGGCAGGACGCACAATTAGAAAAGACGCATTTCCATTTTAATTCATCTGTCGGAAGGCTAGCGCAAGTGAAGTCATTAGTAGGCAAAACTC